CGAACTCAAATTTTAAACACATCACCCATGCCTTCTCTTTATGAGGCCTTTGCCACCATTGATAATGTTAAGCATCGTAGGCGTCCAATTTAGCCAAGTCCTCCTTCCCTATCTCTGATTTCATCTGATCAGATGGCTCTTGCTGCTAAGTCTGGTTCTTGGCATTCTACTGGTCTGTTACTTGTCATCATTATGGTGCTTCTGGTCATGTTAAGGCTCTTTGCTTCAAATTTCATCCTGACTTAAGGCCACGTTCTTCTCGCACTCGTGGCACTAGCACCCCTCGCACCCCTCGCACTGCTGCTTTAGCGGAGGCTACTCCTAATATCCCTAATTTACAGGAGTTACAGACTTAAATTGGTCAGCTTCAGGCTCAACTTGGATCTCTCACTGCTAGCTCTCATGGCCCATCGTCTTCCACTACTGCCACCCTTGCTGCAGGTACTTCTACTGCTTTCCATGTTCTATCTGCTAGTTCCTCATGGGTTTTGGATTCTGGGGCTAATGATCATATGACTAGTGAGTTTTCCTTTTTTTCTTCTCCTATCCCTACTACTATTGCCTAATCTGTGTGCCTTGCTAATGGTTCTTCATCCTCTGTTCGTCATAAGGGTGTAGTGTCCTTATCCCTTACCATTACTTTGTTATCTATTTTACATGTTCCAAAGTTTGCATATAATCTCTTATTTGTTAGTCGTCTTACCAAACAATTTAATTGTGTTGTCATCTTCTTACCCTCTTACCTTTTATAAAACCTGAGTTCGAAGAGGATTTTTGACAAGGGCTATGAGTATGATAGGCTTTACTACTTTGGGAACCCATCGGATGAGTCTTCCTCTTCTTCTTTAGCTAGTTTTCAAGCTTTTGTTTTGCTTGCTTCCATGTCTTATGTTTTTAATATTCAAACTATAGAATTATGGCATTCTTATATAGGTCATGTTAATTTTCAATATTTATGTCAACTTTTTCTTTCATTTAATAAAGCTTGCAAAGACTCTAAATTACATTGTGTGGTTTGTGAGTGGTCTAAGCATATCCGTACTTGCTATATCCCTCATATGACATGGGCCCCCAGTGCTTTTGATCTTATATATTCAGATGTTTGGGGTCTTTCCCCTGTCACTGCTTTCTCTAGTCATAGATATTATGTAATTTTTATTGATGATCACACTAGGTGCACTTGGGTTTATCTCTTTTGCCGGAACGTGAACTGTTTCCCATTTTTGTTCAGTTTTTACAAATGGTTAAAACTCAGTTTCATACAATTGTTTGGAATATCCGTTCTGATAATGGTAGGGAATATATCTCTAATGAATTTCATTCCCATCTGAATCAAATCGGGTATTCTTCAACAACTTACTTGTCCTCAGACCCCTAAACAAAATGGTGTATTCCGTCATATTATGTCTGTTGTCCGGTGTCTTCTTCAGGGTATAGGTGTTCCCAAGTCTTATTGACATATGGTTATCCTTACTGCTATGTACCTCATTAATAGGACCCTTAGTCGTGCGTTGAATAATCTCACTCTGTTTCATATCCTTATGCCCACTACCACTCTGTTTCCACTCTTACCTCATGTCTTTGGGTGTACCTGCTTTGTTCAAAATCGGAGTCTCACTCGCACAAAGTTAGATGACAAATCGATTCGTTATATCTTCTTAGGATACTCTTCCATCTCCAAAAGGTATAGATGTTATGACCCTATGTCTCGTCACTTTCACCACACTTCAGATGTTACTATTTATGAGGATCTTCCTTTCTTTGGTACTAAACCCTCCTTTGCAGGATCCTTCAACTGTTACTTCCACTGTTCGCCCGATGACCATTTTCGACGAGGTTGAGGATGAGGTTGTCCCCCTCCTCCTCCTCAACCTTTATCTCCTCCCCCATTGCAAGTATTCTCCCGTCACCCACGCTCTCAGCCTCCCCTTACCGTCTCTCCGATCTCTGGTCAGGTAACTTTTCTCCTTTGGCTCCTCCTCTAACTCCTTGTCGCAACCCACCTCGAGATCGACATCCTCCAAATCGTTTGAGTTATTGAGTAGTACTAATCATCCCATTTTCCAGTACCTTTCCTATGACAGGGTTTCGACTTCTAACCGTTCTTTCCTAGGCAAGCTTGAGTCTAAATCAATCCCTCAATCTGTGTCTGAGGCCCTTCAGCATCCAAAATGGGTAACAGCTATGCAGACTGAGATAGCAGCATTAGAACAGAATCACACCTGAGATCTTGTACCTTTACCCCTTAGGGAAAGCACGGTTGGTTGCAAATGGGTGTTCACCATAAAGTACCTCGTTGATGGTTCAGTTGACCGTTACAAAGCCCGCCTGGTGGCCAAAGGTTTCATATATATTCCTAGTAAGGGTTTTGGTGCCACTTTTATCCTGCTGCCATGCTTACTTCTGTGCGCCTCCTTCTCTCCTTTGCAATATTCATCAATTTGATATCAAGAATGCGTTTCTTCATAGAAATCTTCTTGACAATTTACATGGCTCTTCCACCCAATAATTGGGTTGAGAGGGAGTATTCGAGGAAAGTGTGCCGGTTACACAAATCCTTGTATGGTCTGCAACAGTCTCCACGAGCATGGTTTGGTCGCGTCAATTCTGTTATTATATCTATGGGCTTTGTTCAGTGCCACTCAAATTACATTTGTTTCATTCGCCGGAATTCTACGGGTCAGTGTATAGTCTTCTTGGTTTATGTGGATGATATTATTCTCACAAGTAATGACTCTGTTAGCATTGGTCAAGTAAAGAAAGACTTGGGCCAAACTTCTGATATTATGGATCTGGGATGTCTCAAATATTTTCTAGGAATCAAGGTGGTTCGCTCAGGGGAGGAGATCTCCTTGTCTCAACAAAAATATACCCTTGAGTTGCTTAAGGATACTGGTATGTTAGGGTGTAAACCTGCTTCTGCTTCTGCTTCTACTTATATAGATCCTAATGTCAAGCTCACATCTGAGTCTGGTAAGTTGTTGGATGACCCAGGCATGTATCAGCATCTTGTTGGATGCCTCATTCATTTAACCATCACTAAACCTAACTTGACATTTGGGGTTAGTATTGTGAGTCAGTTCATGAATGCACCTCGTACAGAGCACCTTGACACGGTTCATCATATTTTGAGGTATTTGAAGACTTCTCCTAGCTTAGAATTGTTCATTATAGCTGGTCTCCAATCTGGGCTCTCTTGTTTCACCGATGCCAACTATGCAGGATTTAGGACTGATCGGCATTTCTGCCTTTTGCACTTTCTACGGTGATCATCTTATCTCATGGAAAAGTAAAAAGCAAGCGGTTGTTTATAGATCTGCAAAGGCTGAGTGTCGGGCTATGGCACATGAAACATGTGAGATTCTATGGCTTCGCTCTATTCTGGTAGAGTTGGGTTTTGAGAAGAGTGTTCCTTCCTCTTTATTTTGTGATAATAAATCTGCCATTATGTTATCCTCTGATTCTGTGCTTCATGAGCGTACCAAGCATATCAAGGTTGACATACATTTCATTAGAGAAAAGGTTCGGACTGACATTGTGCATCCATCCTTTATCTCTTCTTCTCAGCAGTTGGCAGGTATGTTCACAAAATTTGTGGGACCAACTTTGCTCCAATCTTCCATTGACAAGCTGTGTTTGTTGAATATCTTCACGCCAGCTTGAGGGAGAATGTTGAATATAGAAACCAGAATACTATGTTTAGAATAGGAATTGGAATACTTTTATGTTGATTGTAAAAATCTCTCTTCTTGTTTATATTGTTCCCTAAAATTGTATCAAGAATATGTTATATACATATGGCCCCTACCTCATTCAAAGGTAAGCCAAAACCATTATTTTCATCCTTTTGGATCGTGCTCTAAAATTTTGGCTTCAGCATTGATAGGCCCAAGAAGCTTGAGCTCCCGCTCATGTGCTGAAAATCTTTTGATTAATTCATCAGGTTAGCTCAGATTTGATGTGAACTAAACAGATGAGCAAAGCAGACAGCTCAACAACTAAGCAGCCTTGATCGATTGCAATCTTTCAGCAATAACAATTGCACTCAACAACCCTTAATCCCAATTACTTGAGGCCAGTTACATGGATCTGTCTTCTCCAGACAGCTCTCTGTAAAGCCATATTCTCAATTAAACAAAGGCAATCACGTCCAGATTTTTGGAATCTCTTTGTTCAGCATATGTGACTATGAGTTTAAATTGGATATCTACTGACCACCAAAACATATAGTAAGAATGCCAACATATATGCATGTGTGTATGTGTCTCTGATGGCCACAACCACATGCAGCAACAATGAGTCCTTATCCCAGACCTAAACTGAAGTTGGAAGCACAAATAGTGTCTCGTAATTCTACCCAATCACAAGCACATTTATTTCCAGTTTTCCACTTTGCAGTAACTCATCATCTGTCTACACGAATTTTTTTTCCAGATATTTCTCAGTTAAAACTGAAGCTGTGAAACACTCCCTTTGGAAGCAGTCTCTCCACATTAACTGTATTCTATTGTTGTGAAATTCGCAATAACCCAGTTGTGGTGGGTTTGACCCTGATGAAACCCCTGTTGGGTATTCCCCCTTCTTGTGAGTATAAATACTCATTTCCTACTTGTTCAAAAGGAGGAGGGAAATGTAATATTTTGTATTCATCCCACATCAGGTTTGACTTTTAGATGTGCTCCACCTTAGACTAGTCTTTTTGACATTTGTGGTGGGTTTGACCCATGCGAAAACACCCCTGTTGGCTTATTCCGCAATTGTGTGAATATATATTGCTCCTTTCCTTCTTGTTCAAAAATCGTGATTCCAGCTCACAAGCAGCTAGAAATGAAGCCAAAAATTAATTAATTGAGAGAGAGAGAGAGAGAGAACTAAATAAGTGAAAACAAAGAAAACAGAATTCAACCGTTGGAGCAAGGAGTGAAAATATAGAAAAGCAATGGTGGAACATTTAAACTAAAAGCAACATCCAAAATAAACACACACAAAAAAAACAGCACCTTGAGTGTGAAAGCTCTCCCATCGCGACCATCAGGAAAGAGCACAGTCAGAAGCTTTTTCTCTGCTTTTACAACCACACTGCAAATTTGTTGAAAAGGATCATAGAAAGGTGAGTAAACTATTCCAACAACCATCTTAACAAGCAACTGTGCGCAGAAAGCCAGAACGCTAGATCAACTTCAAATCAAAAGAAGCAAGCCAACCTGCCTGAATTGTTGAGGTCAATACCACCAAGGGTCAGATTCACCTCACTCCCCTTTTGAGGAACAGCACTCTAAAATGTAAAACCATGAAAGATGAAACATTTTTAATCAACACAATGAAAAAATGTCATTTTAAATGATGTACAAATGACATCAAGAACATTTGTGTACACATCCATGGCCTCTCATCAGTATCACTTTGATCATAGGGAGGGAAGACAAGAATCACATTATTCACTTTGTGTGGGACAATCTATGAACTTAACAGTGCTGTGCAAAAGATGGGAAGGCTAACTCCCATAGGTGCTAATCTAACAACTGACTTTCGCCGATCAAAAAAAAAAAAAAAAAAATCTATGAACTTAACAGTCAGCAGCCCAAGGTGCTGATTGGAGAAGACAACAGCTTTGCTTCACATGATACATGTTCAATTTGATAAAAAGGTTCTAGTCACTACAATTAAGTACAACAAAGGTTATGAAACTTGCAACCACATTCTTCTGGTCAGAGGCAGAATGATGCATATACTTGACCATCACAATAAATTAGAGTCACCTCTGAGAATTCCACAAAATTGAAAAAGAAAGGATCAAATTCGAACCATAAAACAGTTTAGCGTGATAAAAGAAAAAGAGAGTATACAATTTTCAAGCAATAAATCAATGGTAACTTGTAAGAAAAGCTACTTAATAATAATAATAAGAAGTTCCAACTCTGACATAAAACTTCAGTGTGTATAATAAGACATGCAAACTTAACACAAAACACTTACTGGATCACTTCTGAAAAAGACCAATGATGTTCGCGTTAAAATAAACCACCTTTTCTTCCAAGAAGTCCATCCAATTCCTACACAAGAATAATTACAGAGTAGTAACTTAAGATGGAAGTCGTAATCTTCACAATAATAATTGATGTACCGTAAAAAATTATTTCCAAGCTAAAATCATAATGGATATTACCATAACATCTTATGAAAGCAGAAAATTTAGTAGATAGGTCTAAGAAAAAGACGAGGTGATGATCCTTGGACATTGACATGATTTCATAAAGAAACTGATAGAAATCTTCCATAATTATGTTTTTAGTATTATTAGAGTCTTATTTTATCATTATTTTTATATTTTTTAGGATTTTTAAGGTTAGAGGTATTTTAGTAATTTTATATTTGCTAACATGGGTCGCACATGGGTCGTCTTGTGGGTCAAGTTATTTAATTGAGTTTTATTTATGTTTCTTATTTGATCTTAAATTAATTTTGGAAGTCTAAGATATTATAGTAGTTTTTTTTTTTTTTTGTTCTAGTTAGTTTAGGAAATCTCATAGTCCTATATAAAGCCTTATAATGCTTGACATTTTCATAAAAAGTTAAAGAGCTTTGAAGCTTCTTTATGGGTTATGTGATGCAATCAAACTCTAGGTGTGATGCCCAAGGGAATATAGGAGTGATTCCTAAGGGATTATAGGAGTGATTCCTAAACTTATCTTCTTCTTCCCCTTTCCCTCTTTTATTTCTGCACTTTAATAGCCCAAAACACTGTTCACGGGTACTTTCACAGCCCCACAACAGCTCTTACAGTGCTGTCCTGCATCACAAGGGCAATTGTGCCCACAGCCTCTAATCCCAAAATCATTGATTAGATAAACAAAGCTATGTCCAGCCAAGGAGGTGTATCTTAAATGAACCGGGATAGGAAAAACATTTTTCGTCTATCTAACTGAGAAGAGGTTGTGGGGAGAAAAATCATAAAATCCCAAGGTACAACTCTAACAAATTAAAGTCAAATAAAGAAGATAAAATTAAAGGAACTAGACTTATTTCAGAAATCACCATTAATTTAAATACAACAGTGCTCTGAAACGTGCATTGGGCTAGGTTCCCTATTCACCAATAGGAATCAGACAAGGTTCAACTTCATAAAAGTCTGATTTCAAGCACTACCAATAAAGTTAAAAATCACTGGGCTACATTTCCACCAACAGGAGACTCTCCTGCCTCTAACTGGCCACCCACAATTTGGCAATAATTATAAAAAATTGGTTTCATGCACTACCAATAAGTAATGCCAAGCCTCCATTGTTAATTATTTGATCTGCAAAGCCAACCCCATGTAGTTGGCAGTAAAACCAGCAGACTTCTTGTTCCGCCTTGGTATATTGGTTTGAAAACACGAATGATCAAGCTCAAAATAAAATAAAGACTCACTAAGACATCTGATATATGAGTGAATCCATTGAATTCGTGTTATACTAATAACAATTGTCATCACCTCTTCCAACTATCCATGCATGCACAAAGTTAAAATGAATAATGTACAAAGGAAATCTTTGACTTTAGCTTACATAGAATTAATAGCGAAGACGACTTCCTATTGCAAGAGAAATAATAACTCACAATACTCAAGAAATAAGGAATTTTTTAAACCTATGATTTTTAAGTTCCTCATTCTATAAAATTTGGAATTTCAATATAAAATTTTTACAAGTTAACTATTAAGCTGGGCTGCATTTTATAAAATTGAACTGAAAATATTGATTAATTTGACTCAAAAAATAATATCAATTAATTTGAATTAACAAATAATCAAACATTTACTTCATTAATAACCAAACAATGGCTTTAGCAAGTTTGAGTTGGTAAATTTTATAAACATTTCTCAGACATTAATTGTTTACAAACATATAAATATGGTAAGAAAGTAAACACTACAATTTCTAGAGCATACAATAAAAGTGAGTAAAAATTATTATCCTATATTTGACTAGTCTATTAAGAAATTTGGTGGATCCCAAACCATAATATGCAACTAATATGGAATTCAAATTAAAAACCCTCACCATGGAATTAAGATACATATTGCATTTAAAATACTAAAAAGAAATCTCTAAACTTCACCTATTAAATTTAAATTTTTTATACATGAAAATTCAAATTATTAAGAAAATGATAACTTGATTAAAATTCAGTTAAATATGGGGTATAATCTGATTTTCATATAGTTCAATCCAGTCAAATAAATTTAGTTAAATCTCTACCTCAATAAACCTATGTATATTTAAATTAAACTAGTGTCATTGAAAAATCGCCGTGTAGATAGGCCTATTTGAATTTAATAATTTTTCTCTCAAATCTCATCAACCCAAATTCACACCCGACCTCTATATTTTGTATTTTCTAAATACTCTAAAATAATTTTAAATGAGCAATAAATAATTTCATTAAGATGCAATGTTATTTTAAAAAAGAACAAAACAATTTGAAACGTTCCAGAGTTGAAGACAATTCAACCTCAATCGATTTATATTTATGATGTTATTCATTATTGATTACAATTGTATAGAATATACTAAATCTAAGTACTAGAGCAAGAGCAGCATGTGATGAATCACATGTTTCATATAAGAAGTCGAGAATTGTTTAAATTGCATAATTTAAAAAATCTCGCGGATTTAAAGTCCCAAAATTGGTGCAAAGAAACACAATCAAATTGAAATTCCAAGAACAATCAAATCATACCCTAAACTTCTACAAAGAACGTTGGCTAAAATATGTTTCTTACAATCTACCAAAAAGAACAAAAAAAAAATAGGAAAATAATTAAGGGGGAATCTTAAAGAAGAAGAAAAAGCTTCAGGTTCATTGGTTGGATCACTAAATAAGGTTATGGTACCAATCTTGTGAGTGAAGCAATATCTTCCCATTTGACTGATTAACCTTACAAGTTTAAAACTTTGATAGGAGCCCCACACCAGTCAAAAAGCTTCTTGATCTAAGATCAAATCTATATGGTTCTTGTATTCTTACCATAAGAAAATCAACTTATTACAAATCTGATGTAAGACTTGCCGCAAATAAATAAACAAATAAACTTAGAAAACTGAGTAAGACAAACAATTACGTTTACCTTGCATATTAAACTTTTTTATGCTGCCCAGTGCAAATGTAAAAACACTGCTCTAACCAAAATTTTAGGCTTTGCAAAGCTCGCACAATGGAAAAGGAGTGTAGTTCTAATCAAAACTTTGCACTATGTACGATTCTAGAGGTGAAGCCACAATTTCAAACGCACCAAAGTGAATGTATTATATATGAATGTGTTAAGACATTTTGGCCGAATACAGAAAATTGTATTGCCTGTGACTACGGACTGTTTTTTATTTAGTATGAATATGGAATTTAATTTCAAACAACCAAATATTCATTTTCTATTATATATGAAGTATAATAAATATTTTCATTTACTTAAACATACTTATCAGTTTTCCTTCAATTTTTTGGCCTAATGAGATGCTTTGTGTCTCCTAGAGCTTTGATAAATTCATAACTTCATCTAAGTATGATTTAAATGTCAAATGAAGATTCTATTAGCCATGTAAAAAAACAAAGACAAAAATGGATGACTATGTGAAGGAAACACTTTGGAGTAAAAAAAAAAATTTGAGAAATCTAAAATCCAACAAAAAAAAAAAATTACAAAAGCGCACAATAAGTTTTCTCCTTTAAAAAATATATATATATATGAGTTCATATGAATATATATTAGCTCTGAGTTTTGTAAAATTTGAGTCTATTTATTGGGAATGCAAACTAAGTGGCTCGGACGTCCCTAGGGGACAATATATATTAGTTTTAGCATTGTTTGACATTTAAAATAACCCATTCTTTAACCAATGACCTATTAAACCAAAAAAAAAAAACAAATGTATGCCATTTTTAGTCCCATTGACAAAGAGAACACACAATATTCTACGAATAAATTTTTTTAATTATTTTTTTAAATCCATCTTTTGGTAAGAAATGATAATAATTGCGTTTCTTTTTAACTTTTTCTTGTTTAGTCCTATAAAATTCTTTACTTGTACAGAACCTATATTATAAGATAACAAATGGAACCATCTAGGTATAGATACAATCCCTTTCTATGACTGTACCATAGGGTTTCATGACACCACATAACCTTAAATATTGGGACTTGCATGCAAATAATAGATAAAATTATGAGAAATAAGGCACGCATAATCAACTATGTTAAACCAAAGAGAAAAACATCATGTGCCATCATTCCAACTTTCTTGGAGTCTATCATTTTTTTCAGCAATTGAGTAAGTCCAGTCAGGAAGGAAAACGCACCTTTGGATGATAAAAAAAGTGGCCCACTCTTGAAAATCTGCAGGGCAATGTAAATTTTAGAACACATAACACTGGAGGGATAAATTCACAAGGCAGAACATAGTGCATACTTGTGTGTCTAAAATTCACAAAAACTTTTGCAATCAAATTGTATGTTTTTGTCAATCATATTAGTAAGTTTTATGCTAGATATATAGGATTCTACTTAAAAATTCTTTGCACAAACATTAAAGGACGATGATTGTGACAATTTGAAATCCAGCATAAAATAAAAAAATAATAACAATAAATAAAAAAAAACACCCATTGTGTAAAATCTTGTCAGAAATAACTCAATAATACAACCAACCAACATTTGCATTTGTTAAAAACAAAAAACATAGATAAATCTTCAATTCACTGGTGAGCTACAAGAAAACAATATCAAATTTAGTGATGGCACTATGTAGCGGCAGGAAAAATGACAATTACCTTATTGCCACCACGAGAATGCCCGCGTTCTGGAGGTCCAGCCGGATGTTGGGGATTACCACCCTCTCCCTAAAACATAAACAGGCTTCGCATTAATCTATACTATTATATATGTGAGCACATGACTTGGTGTTTAATAGTGTGATGCCTCCTCCTTTTGCCACGTGGCAAATTTTCCTATTCTAAAGTAAAAAAATATTATTCAAAGGCGTAAGTAAGATTTGAATCAAGACCTTGATTTTCATTAAGAGCACGCTTACCATTTAGACATAATACATATTATGATATTAACTTTTTTATTATTTATTTTCATATTTACTTATTTGCACACGCATTACCCACTAGTTAAATTAATTTTTTATTCATCAACCCCAATATCTACACAAAAAAATAAATAAATAAATAAAACCCACATGCATACATACTCGCCTACGAATTTGTAAACATATATGATATCATTTGATGATTAAAAAAAATGTAATTGGAACCTGAGAAGAGTCTGTGTTTCGGCTAGTCATTGTCCGATTTAGAATGGCATTCCCGCAAGCACACAAACGAGATCAACGCCTTTGGCCAAGGACCTGCATTCACAATAATCAAATTCATCAATCCGATGGATCCAAAAACGCGAACGAACCACTAACACTGAACAAATTTGAAAATGTGGAACGCAAAAGGAGATTCAAAGCGTACACCACAGCACAGAAACTGTAGAAACATATGATGATTTTGAGGACAATGTTTGATGCGAATTAGGGAATGAGAAAGAAGAAGAGGAAGAGAACAAGTGTATCTCTGTGTGTGTGTGTGTGCGCTCGCGTGTGAGAGAGAGAGAGAGAGGGTTTTTTCTTTCTTTTTTGTTTGTTTTTGTGTGTCATGTGAGGGTGTCGCTCAGGTCTCCAGGACTTTTCCCTCAACGGAAACCCGTTGGTCAAGCAAACGCGCCCTCATTTTGAGCGGGGCCTCTCCTCTACTGTTTTACACGTCCACCCACTCTCCCTGCCTATCCATGGCCCTGAATTTTTGGCTTTTTCTTTTTTTACTAAAATTCTTAAAATATAAAAAATAAAACAAATTAAAATAATTAATAATATAAAATATCATATCATATCAAATTCATAATTATTTTATTTTTTTTCACACAAATATCTAAAAAATAAAATAAGTTAAAATAATTAATAAAATAAAATAAAATATCACATCAAATCCATAATCATTTTACTTTTTCTCTCACAAATATCTCATCTAATTACAAAAAAAATTTAATCATCTTTCTAAACACAAAAATTTTAACTTATTAAAATAATCAAAAACTAAAATAACTTACTAAAATAATCAACTTCTCAAACGAGGGCTATATATTTGCTAGTAAAAATAAAATAAAATTTAAATTTAGAAAACAAAAATTAGAGAGAAATTACACACTGCGATTCCTCTGAGTAATGAAAATCTAAAAATTAAATTTACGGTCTAGGCTTCGATGAATTTTATTTTATTTTCAAGCATCATTCTCCATCCATTCGCATATTTAGGTTATGATGATGAATTTGAAAAAAAGATTTTAAAAAAATAACAGAATAAGTTAGAAAAATATATAAATTTTTTTTTTTTTTTGGGTTTTCCTACTTCTTTCTAATAAAGACGTTGCAATGGAGGTGGTGGCAAGTGTAACAAGTGGTGATTGGGGTTAGGATTTGGAAGTAGTGTTGAAGTTAGACTTTGAAAATTGAACATAATGAGAGCGTTTTTCACATAATGAGTTGGTGAATCAAGATCTCCTATTCCCTTTTATGCTTCTTTCTATGCTCCATTCTTTCTTCCTCTCTCCTTCCCTCCTTCAAATTTTATGGAGTTATCTATATCAATAATGATGACATTATAAACTTATCAAATCCAAGAGGACAAATAAAGGTGCATAAAAAGGGATAAATGATATGTGTTCAGAGTGTTGACATCCCAATTCAAGTTCAAGCTCCAACTGCTCCAGTTTAAGTTCATACGATTGCAACAGTTCAAGGAGTTCAAGGAGCTGAGCTACGGCCTCATTGTACCTTTCTTGTGCTGCTGACTCGTGAGAATATCTCCCTAGTCAGTTAGATAGTTAGATAGTTATCAGTGGTTTGTTAGATAGTTAAAATTAGGGGTGGGCGCGAGTCGGTTGCGGTCACGGAACCTCCAATCCGCTATCCGTCCGTTAGATTGGCGGATTGAAGAAAATCAATCCGCATCCGTCCGCCAATCCGACGGATGCGGATTGAGCGGATTGACGGTTTGGCAGATGGATACAAATCGATTTGGCGGTTTGAAATTTTATAAATTTTCAACATAGTTCAACTTATGCACTTCCTAAAAGTCAATGACTTAAAAAAGTATTACAATTACTGCATACCTCATCCAAAGAAAGAAAGTTTGAAAACTTTAGATTATCACAATCACTGCATGCATCATCCACATATTACAATCATAGCATGTCTCGTCCACATAAAGTATTACAATCTATGGTTATTAAAATATAAAAGCAATTCAAACTACCAAAATCATGAACAGAGCAATAGTAAAGATTGTATGTCTCTGTATTGTTACATTTATATATGTTTTTGAAAACAAAAATCAACTAACATATCATATTTTCTATTTATTACTTTTAGAGTTAGATTTAAAAATAAAAAAATATAGATAAATAATACGTTATTTTTTTCAATTTAAAAAATATATTCAAGTTGAAAACTTTTTTTCAACAAAATATTTGAACTCTTTTTCAATTGAAAACACAAACAAAATATTTAAACAAATTGAAAACACAAAGTCTTATAAATTACTGAGGGTGCTCGCGGTTTGGCGGTTAGGCGGTTCGGTTGTGGCCAAAGGAACCTCAAATCCGCCATCCGTTCGCCAAATTGGCGGATTAGAGAAAATCAATCCGCAACCGTCCGCTCGTCATCACGCATCCGTCCAAAATGCAACGGATCGGTTCAGTTCGGTCGGTTTTGGCGGATCGGTATATCCGCTGCTCACCCCTAGTTAAAATAATTAATTAACCTCTTGTTTTGTATATATAAAGTAGAGAGTGATATGTGTATGAATATGGAAAAAGAGATAATGAAATAAGATTGGTTTCAGTTTTTCTTCATGGTATCAGAACTTGAAAGACTTTCGCGAACTCTTGATCCATGGTAACTTCATCTTCTCTATCTTCATTTGGTTTGTCTTCTTCAATTCCTTTGAATTTAACTCTGCTAATCTCCAATCTTTCATCATTTGTCACTGTGAAACTTAATGGATCCAACTTTATTATCTGGAAGCCTCAATTGTCCAATATTCTCAGAGCTACTAATCTCATTGGTTTTGTTGATGGTTCAACACCATGTCCTTCTCTGACAATTACAAATTCAACAGGAACAAAGATTCATAATCCAGATCTTCTTCAATGGCGTATGATCGATGCTCATTTATCAAGTTGTATCACTGCTACACTTACACCACCGATCTATTCTATTGTGCTTCAGTTCTAGCATTATTCTAAGATCTGGTATTCTCTTCACAAGAGATTTACATCTCTTTCTCGATCTCAGATTCATCAATTAAAGAACAAATTGAATTTTGTTTCCAAGAAATCTGATACGATGGAGGAGTATCTTTCAAAGATCAAGGCCTTAGTCAGTCAGTTAGCACTTGCTTCAGCAATTGTTGAAGATGAAGATTTGGTGTTAATCACTTTGAATGGCCTGCTATCTGAATATGATGCTATCTGGTATTCTCTTCACAATAGATTTACATCTCTTTCTCGATCTCAGATTCATCATTTAAAGAACAAATTGAATTTTGTTTCCAAGAAATCTGATACGATGGAGGAGTATCTTTCAAAGATCAAGGCCTTAGTCAGTTAGTTAGCACTTGCTTCAGTAATTGTTGAAGATGAAGATTTGGTGTTAATCACTTTGAATGGCCTGCCATCTGAATATGATGCTTTCACCACAACAATTCGTGTTCGATCTGACACTATTACTATGGATGATCTATTATCTTTGTTATGTTCTAAGGCAATCCATTTGGAATCTAAGCACAATAAGATTATAGAATCAACTGTTGTTTTCTCTTCTGTTAAAGGATCTGCTAATTCTGTTTCACGTGTACCAAATTTCAGTTATTCTAGAGGAAGATCTTACTCTAGAGGTAGAAGAGAAGGTCGAAATTCAAGATCCTATAGAGGTAATGGTCGATATTACAACAACAATAGAGGTAGAGGAAGAAATTTCAATCAGGTTTATTCTACTTTAGGTTGTCAAATTTGTGGAGGACTGAGTCATTCTACATGGATTGTTGGCATCACATGGATCCTCAATTTCAGTCAGCTTCACATACTTCTCCTCACTCTCAATCCTCCCAATTTGCTTATTTTCAGCAACCTAGAGCTCTTCTTGCTTCTTCTTCACCTGGTTCTAGTGCTTATTCCTCACATTTGTCTCAAACTCCTACAGATTTCCTTTCTAGTCCTTGGTACTTAGACTCTACAGCCACATACCACATTACTAATGATCTAAGTCATCTCAATAGCTATCAATCTTATCCAGGCTCAGATCACATTACCATAGGTGATGGAAATTCTATTCAAATTCAGAATACTGGTAAAGGTCTTCGTCCTACCCCTCATTATTCTTTCAAACTTAATAATGTACTCCACATTAATTCTATGTTTTCTAATCTTGTTTCTGTTCAAAAGTTGGCTCAAGATAATAATTGTATCATTAGTTTTGAAGAAGCCAAGTTTGTGATTCAGGACAAAGTTACGAAGAACATTCTTCACCAAGGATTTAATCATTTTCTTTCATTAGTAAATCACACATCATCATCGGTTGTCTTTGCTGCTCAAACCATAGCACCACTCACATCTGCTGGTCATTCTACACAAGACTCTTTTCTTAACAGTTCATTACCTGCTTCTAGTATTGTTTGGCATAATAGACTAGGCCATGCTAGTAGTTAGAAATTTTAGCATCTTGTTCCTCATGTATAGCTTACTTCACATAAGTCTGTTACTTCACTTGATTGTATTGACTGTTGTGTTGCTAAAAGTTATAGACTTCTTTTTCATTTGTCTAATTCATCTGTTGATAAACCTTTTTCCTTAATACATAGTGATGTTTAGGGTCCATTTGACTCTACCTCTGTATTCAAATATTATGTTCTCTTTGTGGATGACTTTAGCAAATTTACCTGGTTGTATCCTTTAGCTTATAAAAGTGAAGTGTATGATAAGTTTCTTGAGTTTAAGGCTTATGCAGAAAAACAATTCTCAACTTCACTTAAGATTCTTAGAACTAATGGTGGAACTGAATTCTGTAATAATAAGATGAAGGCTTTTACTATAGCTTAAGGTATTTTGCAATCAACATTCTTACCCATATACACCACCACAAAATGGCGTGGCTGAGAGAAAACATCGACATCTCACTGAAGTTGCTATAGCCCTGTTACATCACTCTTCAGTTCCTCTCCACTTTTGGTTTAATGCCCTTGCATGTGCTACCTATTTGGTTAACAGATTGCATTCTTCTAAACTAGGCCACAAAACTCATTTTGAAATCTTATTTCATCATCTTCTAGATTTTTCAATTTTAAGAACCTTCATATGTCAATGTTTTCCTTGGTTAAAACCCTATACCTCTACTAAATTGCAGCCTAAATCCATTGCATGTGTGTTTTTAGACTATTATCCATTTGCTAAGGGTTATAGATACCTTGATCCAACTTATGGTAAAATTTACTTATCTAGATATGTTGTGTTTAATGAA